GTCACGGTCGGCAGGGCTAACCGGACCTTATCGTGCATCCACAGGTGCATCTCGAGCAGGTCCAAGGAGGTGATCCTCCCCCTCTACGCAACACTGGTCAGGCCACAGCTGGAGTACTGCGTCCAGTTCTGGGCACCCCACTTCAAGAGGGATGTGGACAACATGGAGAGGGTCCAGAGGAGGCCACTCGCATGATCCGGGGACAACAGGGCAGGCCCTACGAGGAGAGGCTATGGGACCTGAACCTGTTCAGCCTCCACAAGAGAAGGCTGAGGGGGGACCTGGTGACCATCTATAAACTCACTAGGGAGGACCAGAAGGGTTTGGGGGAGACCTTGCTTCCCTTAGTGCCCCCCGGGATAACAAGGAATAACGGCCACAAGTTGTTGCAGAGTAGGTTTAGATTAGACATCCGTAGGAACTACTTCACAGTCAGGGCGAGTAGTATATAGGCTCTCTGCCCTTCAATGCAAATGTGACAGGTGGGCAGGACTGGAAGTCCTGCCCCTTTGCCCCGCCCCTTTCCCCTTTTATGGTGTGTGACGTCACCCCCCCCCTGCGGACATGGTGCATGACATCAGCATTAAAATGGGGTTGGGGTGTATATCTTTTGCTGTTCTTGGTGGGAGCCTGGGGAAGGTGAGGTTGTAAAACACAACAACAGTTTTCGACATCTAATGTATTTTAGCATTTGCTTTAGTGTCTTGGATCTCTAATCACATACAGAAGGGTTTTTTGTAAAGATAAAACAATGAGACTTAATGGTCACTAGAAATGATAACAATCCTTCTTAGGAGAAGGGGTAACAAAATAAACAAGTAAAATATTGTAAAAGTTTCAATGGAAATAAAGACTGAATTTAAAAATATATATTCTCACAGCTTTTGTATGGTATGGGTGGGGTGATGTGGGGGTTCTTGCATTATAAAGATAAAACAGACCTCAAAAAAAAAAAAAATGACCATCAGTTATCTCTTACCAAAAGGCCTGCTGTAAAGATAAGGCTGACAAGGCATAATGGTCACTGGATATGATAAGAAACACTTCTTTCTTAGAAAAAGGTTTAACAAAATAAACTAATAAAATATTATAAAAGTTTTTAATAGAAATAAAGACTGAATTTAAAAACATATATTCTCACAGACTGTGTTATGGTATAGGGGTGATGGGGGCGTATCATAAAGAGAAAAAAAAAAAGCGGCCTGGTGTGTCCAGATCGCCACATTTTTTAAGACTAAAGGGGTGGGTTGTCTTTTAGTGCTGACTATTTTTAATACAGTTATATTTAACTTTATACATGCACTATTTTCCTTAATCTATTATTTAATTTTTTAATACAGAGGACTTACTTATTGTATCATTTCATTTATATTACAGAGAGCGCTTATCAGGTGGGGAAGCCCCAGGCCATTTTACCACAATAAGGTAAAAATTATTTTACAAGGATTGGGTTATTTGTGGCAGTGTTGCTATAATCACACTAAGTTATAACAACTGTTTGTTTGCAACCAGAACCTCTTCTTCTAAAATAGAAAAGCAGAACAAGCACATACAGTCATGTTTTTATCCATTAGTAAAAGGTAATTTTTCGGAAATCAGCTTCTGAAACTTTGTGTTTCCTGTGGGAGAAGCTGTGTGTAGGGGTGAAGCAAATGTTAAATGTGCAGTGTGTGAGGCAAGTGGATTCTCAATGCTGAGATGTAAATTTTATATTTCCTAAGTGATCACACACACCACTCCCGAAGAAGAGCGGGGGCCTGGGCAGAGACCTCTAAAAGCACAAGCAAAAAAACCCCCAAACCCCGAAATGCACAGCCTGCAGATCATAACACCCAAGGATGGAAGACCGACGGGACAGAACAGAAGGGTACGATCCCTCAGAGGAAAACAAGGCACATACCTCTGCGAGAGTCAGGTGTAAAAAGACTAGGATGCACACCCCCAAAACAGGTGATCTGAACCCCGTGAATATGAAACCCAGGACTGATTGCTCACACAATTTACAAAAAGAGGAGAGTCTTTCTCCTTTTTTGAAAGATCATAATTATTGTGAAAAAAAAAGCTTCCTGTTGAACTGTGCTTCCTTGAAAATTAATGAATTTTATATACTGCTACCAAAATAGAATTGAAAATTTGACCAATATTTTCTTTGTTATTGCAGCATTGAGAATCAAGCCATATGCGTAGGGGTTTTCACATATAATTCTCCTGACCATGAATGTAAGAAACGCCACGGTTCAGGAGACGGCTGTTGCTACCAGTGAGGACTGAGTTGTAGATAACCAGCAGCACTGGAAAGAGTACAGGCGTGAAATCAAGCTGTTTATATAGATGCTGAACTACAGTTGTTGGCACTCCCTTCAGGTACCAACATCTGAGAGTTTGGATTTTACAGAACTTTGTTTTTCTTGACCATGAATGTAAGAAACGCCACGGTTCAGGAGACGGCTGTTGCTACCAGTGAGGACTGAGTTGTAGATAACCAGCAGCACTGGAAAGAGTACAGGCGTGAAATCAAGCTGTTTATATAGATGCTGAACTACAGTTGTTGGCACTCCCTTCAGGTACCAACATCTGAGAGTTTGGATTTTACAGAACTTTGTTTTTCTTAAAGTTGGCAATTTTCAAAATTCCTTGCCTCAGCCATGAAATGATTGCTTAAACCTGTTCAACAGGAAGCTAGGTACCAAGCAATGTACACTTCACTGAAGTCCTCTTGGTATTTCTTGGTGAGCAAAACTCACCCCTATGCCAAGTCCTAAACATTATTTAGAGATCTTCTTGAGCACAACAGTGAGTTTACATAGTGCTGGGCCTATCCATAAGGGACAGATTCAGCCTAAGTCATTTAACTAGCTTCAGGGCCAGCCCTTAATTCTTTTCTTTAATAGTAGCAGTGGTGGTAATGACTTATTTATTAGCATCACAAGAAAGCAAGAAGTAACAAAAGTCTCCATTATTCTTAATTCTCATTCAGTCACATGCTTCTGAAATACATGGGTACCAGCTACAAACAAGTGATGGCCTCTGAAGAGCTTTAATTTTCCTAGGATTCACTTATTTCCAAGTCAGTCTTTTGCAGTCACCCTTTTAAAAGAAAGTATAATGACAACCTAAAGGCACGTTTATAAAAATCAATCCTTAGACTGCCTTCTTGTGCTTAAATCACACTCAAAGACTCGCACCAGTTACACACTTTGTTTTTGACCAGGTCATTGTAAAAAAAAAAAATGACTATGGGCACATTTTGCAAACACACCTAGTTGACTTTGAAACTTTGAAGCTTATGTCCCACTGACTTTTATTGAGATTCAGGTGTTTTTAAAAGTTCTACCGTATTACCATGGTAAATACAATAAGACATCTTCAGCTGGACTCAGCAGAGCTTTCCTGACAAACAGCTTAGAAATCTGAACCAAACACTCCTGCAACTAGCACTGAAGGCACAGGAACAACACAAGTGCAAAAGGTAGCAGCCATGGTACTGGTGCAGAGTTGAGGATGAATACATCTTTAACACCTTCCTGCTCTTTACCTTCCTGTGTTGTGACATCAGCAACAAGGCTGGCATCATAGTGAACTTGAGGATTATTCTTTAAACACCAGACATACAAGCTTGATGCCACCAGATGAAATTGGTGGGGATATCTGGTAGGAAAATCCCTTTGAACAATAGTTCAGTAGCACTGGAAAGAGACCTCAAATTCATTAACAGAGAGAGAGAAGGTGGAGTGTCCCCAGGGCTAGGCAAGGTGTATACTCTTAAGTTGGCCAAGAAAGGGGCAAAAGGAATACAGTTATCAAAGCTAACTCTTGGGAGGCCTTCAAAATATTTGAAGGGGGCTGTACACATTTTCAAGAATAAAAGGATGCAGTCTAAACTAAGCTCGAGATAAGGAGTGAACTTACCACTCTACCCGGTGGCTTCACTTTTGCCCTCCAGTGCAACAGATGTGGAAGGAGAATGGACATTGATGCTGACGCTAGCATCACAACACAGACAGACATCGAATGGGCATGGAAAAGCAGCTCAATATCTATGAAGTACGTGGCTTGGAATCAGATGAGGTGGTATGACAACAGCGAGACAGTGCCTTGAAACTTCAGGGACTGCGTTTGTGAACAAAGTTTTTTCTGAACAGCATTTCTGTTTGTTACATCTTCCTTAACGTGGGAGGGGAAGGAATCGTTGCTTCTTTTTTTAGATGTACATATTTTTCTAACTGCTTGTTTATGTTTAAATGCAGAGGTACCATTTATTTTAGGGCCATGGCTGGTTCCATGGTGAATACCTTCAGGTAAAAAAATCTTTTTGGGGTTGTGGGGCAATTTTGTTTAATCATTTACACAAATGTAATAGAGCAGAACTTGACTTTCTCACTCTAGCATTTTGCACAGGTGCCAGGCACATGTCCAGAAGGGCAGTTGTGATGTTAGCTCTGAGAACTGGTGGTATGTTAATGTGGCTATCTTTTCCATGCAGGCCTTTTGGTAAGAGAGGTCACCTTTTTTTTTTTTGAGGTCTGTTTTATCTTTATAAGGCAAGTCCCCCCCACATCACCCCACCCAAAGTCTCAATGTCTGCTTGGAGGTCCTGGGTCTCCTCCAATTGCCTGTTCATAGGCTCTTCCCCAACAGGGTCAGGCGTCACAAAGAGTCTTTGGGCAAGGAGTCGGGTCTCCTCCTCAAAACTATTTCTACGGTAACGTTTTCTATAAGGCCGTCTTGGGGGGTGTAGTGAGTGGGCCTACAGGCGTTGTGAAAGAATCCATATCCGCCCTTGCTTGCCTTAGCATGGTCTCAGATAACCAGAGGGGTCGTTTGGGAAAGCAGATAGACCTGGTGGGTTTGCCGCCTAAACCCCCACTCCTGCCCCCCACTGTACTCAGTCCAATTGGTTCAGCATCGTTCTTGGGAGGTTGGAAGCCTCTGAAACCCCCTCCAATTGGTTGGGGGTGGTGGGGCGGGTTGTTAGAGGGGTTACATCACTACCCTGTCACCCTATAGGCCACGCCTGTGGTCTGGCGTGGGGGTTAGAGTGGTCTGGGACCTGATAGGCCATAACAGCACCACCTGATTTAGGGCGGTTCTTGCAGCATGAGGGGTTGGG